TTTTTCTGAAGAAGGGTCCCGACCCGAAACGTCAACTTCCCTGCTCCTCTGATGCTGCCTGGCCTGCTGTGTTCCTCCAGACTCTTGGATAAGAAACCTTTCCAACTGGCCACTCACAGGTCCATACACTCACACAAAAAAGGCCACCAATTTGACTGGGACAACGTAACCATCCCAGGACAAGCCAACCAAAGACACGCACAGGGTTTCCTGGAGGCCTGGTATTCAACCTGGAACTCCATCAACAAACATGTGGAAATAGACCCCATATACCAACCACTACAAAGCAGAAGCAAAAATGAGGCCAACAACCAAATCAGACCGGGCCCACATAAATAATAAACAGGATAGACCAACAACGCTTCATCGGAGGCGCACTGATGATGTTACCTAGCATGGTAATGAAACATCTGCAAACCAACCTACCAACTCAGTGAACAAATCAACAACTTCATGTAGAGGTATATTTAAGAAACTGCGCCAAGTGAAAGAGTGAGAATGAACTGTTTGGGACCTGGGTAATTTATCCCAGTCTTCCCTCATCCTTCCATGGGATGTGGGCATCACTAACAAGGCCAGCATTTTATTTTATTCATTCATGAGATGATGGCATTGCTGGCCATGTCAGCATTCATTGCCCATCCCTCAGTATCCAGAGGGCAGTTAAGAGTCATCCACATTGCCGTGGGTCTGGATTCACATGTAGGTTCCAGACCAGATAAGGATGACAGTCCTTAAAGGACATTAGTGAATGAGATGGGTTTTTCCAACAATTGGCAATGGATTCATGGTCATCACCAGACTTTTTTTATTGAATTCAAATTTCACCATCGACCATAACAGGATTTGAACCATCAGTTGACCATCTCTAATTGCCCTTGAAAGCAGTGGCTCTCTAGGCCATTTCAGAGGGTGTTATGAGCTACTCCGTACTGAGTTCTGTGGACCAGTGGCTTGGAGCGATGCAATTCTGGATTACTGAAAGGGCCAAATATCTAAGAACATAAACAAGTGGACAATTACTATCTTAAAATAAGAAATGAACTTGAGGAGGAGTGCTCCGTGATCAAGTGAGTGGTAAAATCACTAATGTACATTTACCTAGAGAGAACCTTCTTCCTGCTAATGAAGGATCCCCTATCTCCCCTCTTTAGTTTTAAATGAAGGAGGAAGGAGTTGCCTGGCTAACTCACTGCTCAGCATCTTTCTAACCACATCTCTTCCTGTTGAGTGGAGTAGGATTATTGCATAGGATCATTGCTACCCTCCCACCCACAATGCTATTTTACAAGAAGAATTACTTCAGCCCTTGGCTATTTGCTGCCCAGCGGTGGGGCGCTATGTAACAGGGACGGAGAGAGAACATCGTAGAGCAACAGGAATTCTCTGTCTACAAACGTAGCTCTATTTCGGAAGCCAACATCTGCAGAAGGAAAGAGGACTGGAGCACATTGAGAGAATCATCAGTTTGGACAAAGGCAAAGATCAGAAGAGATAGTAAGAACTGCCGATACTAGAGTCAGAGATAACAAAGTGTGGAGCTGGAGGAACACAGAAGGCCAGGCAGCATCAGAGGAGCAGGAAAGCTGACGTTTCGGGTCGGGACTTCTTCCTGCTCCTCTGGTGCTGCCTGACCTGCTGTGTTCCTCCAGCTCCACACTGTGTTATCAAAGATCAAGGAGACTGCCACACAGTTCTATCTCTGGTAAGGGATGGCTACAGACATTTGTCATCAGCTTATGCAAAGACTTACATCAATGGAATGGGATTATTTCTAAATGCATATACACACATTCATCCCATGTTTACAGCAAGAGAGCAGGAGAAGAATGTTAGGTCCCTGGAAGCTCCTTACTCGGGAGATGATATAAGACATTATGTAATACTTCAGAATTACCAAGGCAAGGTGGTACAGCTTGAAAATAAAAACTCAGTTCCCTCGAATCAGGAAGGATTCACGGTCTGTAAAGAATAAAGACAGGGAAATAATTCAGTTAAAAGAGAGGAAGGAACTGAGAGTAAGAAGGTGTTGGCCAGGAAGTAATCACTGTTACTGTGTAATTCAATTGCTGCAGATTAAGACATAAATATTTCCTGGGTACAATTTAACAACTTGGTAACAGCACCTCATTTCTCTTAATAGGCTCAGGATGCAGTTGAATTTTGACAAGAATCTTGTATAGACTCTCTGGGTCTACCCACAGCAAGAAGGTTCAACAGTGACAAACGTATCACAGATTGCAGTGTGTCAAAGTAGCAGACGGAGAAAATACTTCACAAGCTGTAACATGGCACTGTTCAGGCAGAGGTGTCTACAGAGAAATAGAGTTTACAGGAGCCTTAAGTTCCTTTCCTTCCCCATCTATTTTATTTTAAACCCCTCACCTTTGAAATTCACAGATTCTTCTCTGCAAGACACCTCCTAAACAACAATTTCATCAATGTAGGCTATTTAACATTGGCTGCCATCACAATCCAGTTTCCACCCAACTGCTGTATATGTACATATACACTCCAGCAGACATGAAGATGATGGAAATTGATCAGAAACTGCGTTATTTGTATTCTCTTCCCACTCCCATCCTCCTATTGATACTCAGCCACTCCAGCCTCACTGAGTTCACCCAGTCATTACACATAAAGGAGCTTTCAGAGTCCCTGCTTGCCCAGGTGACCAGACAATTCAACATGGAGACCTGAGCAACACAGGCCCAATTCCCATCCCAACCATCCACTTGGCTTCACAAGTCATTATCGCGCTTAGTTAGTGTGAAGGAGTTCACGAACCAAGAGGCCATAAAGGAAGTAATATATTATCTTAATTCAGTCTTTGCAAACATTTGTTTTTGCAGTCCAGCCGCCATTTTGGAAAACCCATGAAATCTCAACAATAAACAAGAGCCCCTAAAGCACTCTGTCCGTGGCATTCCGACTGAAAGCAGCAGACCAGTTCTTCTAAGCCTTGCCCCATTCCTGGTGTCCTCGGCATGCCAAGACATTCCCTGGACTTTAAACTACAACAGGCCTTGATCTTCACCAAGCGATAGGAGCCATCCTCAGTGACCTACTGCGGGGTTTCTGCCACTAGCTTTGGAATGATCGCTCGGCAGAGAGGGGTGCTGGGAAGACAATTTCCACTTTTTTTTTAAGAAACGAAACAATTTCAGACAGAATTTTTGAAGACTCCTCCTCACCCTTAAGGAAAATCAGTCTGAGGAAATTGAAAACCATTGTTGTTTGAAAGTTGGGTTTGAAACTTGCCTAAATCTTCACGGACCTGGTCTTCACTGCGCTGGCAGTACCAGATTCAATTTGTAGCTTATCAGACACACATTCTGCTCTCAAAAGCGCTATTTAAGGGTATCGGTCCTTTCGGAGGGTCTGAAGCAGCTTCGGGACGGGCGTCCCATTCTCGCCTGGCTCTTGCCTCAGAAGAACTTGTCATCTATTCTGAAGTGGGGCCTGGTGACATCGTCTGGGTTGATGAAGACCGAAATGGACTTGCCTGGATTCTCCGTCACCAGCTGCTGCAGCTTCTTGGCCAATCGGTCGTCTGGCTGCCGGTTGTCCCCGGACCCGGCGTCCGAGGATGGTGACGGCGTGCCGGAGCTGCTTCCCCTCCGGTGGACGTCCTGGGTCAGCCGGTTGGCGGCCTTGGCGTGCTCAATGGCGGTGCGCAGGTGCTCGGCGGGATCGGAGCGCACCGAGGACAGCTTGCGGGCATGCAGCACAGCAGCCTCGTCCGAGAGGTGCTCAAACATGTTACACTGCGGGATGAAGTAGTTGGGGCACGACCTGTTGACCAGGCAGTGTTGGAGGTCATCAATCAGACCGAGAAGAAAGTCCGCCGCGTACTCCTCCTGGGCCAAAAAGGTGGCGGGCAATCGATCGCAAGCCCAGAGCATCATACTCCGCAAGTGGTATGGGCTGATGGCTTTGGGCCTGGACAAGAGCTTCATGATGATGGCCTTGCACGCTTGGTAGGCCTGCATGAGGCTGCTGGAGATGCACTTCTTCAGTTGCACCTCACTTCTTGCAAAGGACAAGCGCCACTCATTTTCCCTTTTCCCGTTGAGAGAGGAGGCTGGCACCAGGTAGAAACCGCTGATCACCTCCTCCTCGGTGATCTTGCCATCCCAGAAGTGGTTCTCCATCAGCCAGCTCTGTGCCACAGCGGGCCAGCCCTTGAACGAGACCACGGGGATAATGTCGTACAGCATGCGGCTCGAGCCCACGGCCAGGACAATGGAGATCACTGTGCCATTCCTCTCCACTTTCTCGACCTTTGGCATCCCGCGTTGAGGCTTCTTCTGAATCTCGGCGAGCACCACGGCGATGGCATCATGAAACCAGTCGGCCACGCGGGTGGGGGAGAAGAAGTAGTTGGCGCCCCCATTGATGTGGTCCACAATGGTGCAGCAGTCTTTCCACTTGTTGATGGTCCCTTCGTCGAAGAGCCTGAGGCTCAGCCAAGAGTGGCAGAGTGCAGAGTGGCGCATGTCCAGAGTGACCGGCTGGTTACGGTCATGCAGTTTGAGGGCAGGGACCAGAAGGGTGAAGTCCATGTCGTAATCTGTCCCCCGGATGTAGACGCTGAGCTCCTCAAGGTCCATGTCCACCACACCCTCACGGACTCCACCAGAGAGCAGTAGGTACTCATTGGCAACTGGAAGCTTCTGGTCCAACTTCTGCACCATGCCTAGGGCAAAAGAAAACAGAAGAATTAAAAAGATGCACAAAGTGATAACACAAACTGAGACAAGTGAACCAAATGAATTATTTCTTCTGAAACAGAGTCTTCTTCATATCTTTCCAGGCTGACAGTAATTAAGAAAAGATGAAAGACAAGGTGATGTTGGAAAGGAACAATGTGTAGGGATACAGGGGGAAGGCAGGGCAATGGCACAAGGAGAGTTGCTCATTCAGACCCAATGGGCCATTTGGCCTCCTTCTGTGCCCTAACAATACTAAATCAGGGATGTTGAGCTCGCAGTTTCTCGTCATTCTTTGGTGTTATCCTTTGGCCCAACAGGTCTCCAGGATCTCGTTCCTCCTCCTACAACAGAACCTTGAGTATATCTGATTTTGATTTTCTCACCATTATTGACAATTTGGCTTCTTTGGCCCCAGGTTCTGGAATTCTGTCCTCGAACCCCCTCCTTTGTGAGGTTTAACGCTTTAAGATGCTTCTTAAAACTGCCCTGTGGCATCATGTGGCACAGTGTCCAATTTTAGTTTGCTCCCACACCTGTGAAACACTTTGAGACATTTCACTATATTAAAGGCAGCATATAAATGCAGTTCAGTATTGTTGGATTAATAATAGAGAAATAATCAGTGGCCCAGGTTGTTAAGCACAGGGTTTATTCAGTCATGCTGAGAAAGAGCTGGATTATCAGTAGAGGTAATACTACAACAACTCACATTTATGAAATAAAAACCAGAAGAACTGCAGATGCTGTAAACCAGGAACAAAAACAAAGTTGCTGGAAAAGCTCAGCAGATCTGGCAGCATCTGTGAAGGAAAAAACAGAGTTTACGTTTCGGGTCTGGTGGCCCTTCCTCAGAACTGGGGAAGGGTCTCCGGACCCGAACCATTAACTCTTTCTTTCCTTCACAGATGCTGCCAGACCTGCTGAGCTTTTCCAGCAACTTCTGTTTTTGTCACTTTTATGAAACACCTCTAACTTATTTAAACATCTCAAAGTGCTTCACAGGGATGCTTAAAAGTAAAATTTGATGTCAAGACACATGAAGCACAGATGACCAAAGGCTTTGTCAAAGAGAGCGGTGTCAAGGAGCAACTTAAACAAGGAAAGTGAGGTGGAGAGGTAGAGCTTATGATATCAGAAATCTGAAAGCACAACTCAGCTGGGGTTGTTCAAGAGGCTAAAATTAGAGGAGTGCAGAACTATTGGGCCGGAGGAGATTACAGAATGAGGGGCAAGACCAGAGGAATTTAAAAACGAGGAGGAGCATTTTAAAGCCAAGGTCTTCCTCCATGGGAGTCACAGGACAACAAGAAGTAGAAGCAGAAGTTGACCATTCTGCCCATCAGGTCTGATCCGTCATTCAATGAGATCATGGCTGACTTGATGATATTCAACTCCATTCTCCTGCCTTTTCCCCAGAAGTCCTCAATCCCCTTACTGGTTAAAAACATGGCCATTTCAGCCTTGAATATACTCAACAATCCAGCCTCTATTGTTTGCTGTGGTAAAGAATTTCACAACTCACAATGATCTGAGAGAAGAGAGTTCTTCTCATCTTTGTCCTAACTGGGTAGCTTCTTACTTTGAGATTACTTCTGTGTTTCACATTGGGAGAGTCTAGGACCAATTTCTTAGCATGTACCCTGTCAATCCCCCTAAGAATCTTGTATGTTTCAATAAGGTCATCTCTCAGTCTCCTAAACTCCAATGAATATGGGCCCAACCTACTCAACCTCCCTTCATAAAAATCCCTCTATACCCAAGATCAGTCTAATGAACCTTCTCTGGGCTGTCTCCAACACAGGTGTACCTTTCCTTAGACAAGGAGACTAAAATCGTTCACACAATATTGACAATGGTGTATCTACTTCCCTCATCCAATTCATTAACATATATTGTAAATAACAGTGACCACAACACTGATCCCTGTGACACTCCACTAGTTAGTTGCTATCCTGAAAATAACCCCCTTATCCCAAATCTGTCATCTGTCCGATAGCTAAACCTTTATACCAATATACTACCCCCAACACCATTAACACTTCCCGTAGCAGCAAATTTGAGTTTAACCGTTCTTTATATACAGATTTATCCTTAAGATAGCACTTTTGACATCAATGTATATTCCAAGACACTTTGCAGGTGCAGAACTAGCCTAGATGGTCACTGAGTGCAAGGGGCTCAGAAAATACCTGTGTTGAGCCATTGTCATACAACATGGAAACAGATCCTTCAGTCCACCAATGCCAACCATGTTTCCCAAACTAAACTAGTCCCCACCTGCCTGTGCTTGGCCCATATCCCTCCAAACCTATTCACGAACTTAGCCAAATGCCTTTTTAAACATTCTAACTACACATATATCCATCAGTCTCTCTGACAGTTCATTCCACATATGAACAACGCTTGAGTAAAAAAAAGTTTCCCCCATGTCCTTTTTAAATCTTTCTTCTCTCACCTTAAAAATATGCCTCCTTGTTCTGAACTCCCGCACCCTAGGGAAAAGACTTTAGCTATTCACCTTATCTATGTCCCTCATGATTTTATAAAACTCAGTAAGTTACCCCTCAACTTCCTATGCTCCAGGGGAAAAAGTCCCAGTCTATTTTTATATCTCAAACCCTCCAGTCCCGGCTTGTGATTTTTTTGTTCAATGGTTAAAGTGATATCTTTCCGCATTCCCTACACATATAGATGGTTCAAAAACAAGAAGTTGAATCTACAATGACTTGGGTATAACAGGAGCCATACATACAGATGTGGAGAGATAGGAGGCTTCTTGGTATATCCTCCACAGACAGAAAGAGAAACACAGTAGTGTTAAAAGTGTCTGAAAAAGAGAAGAAATTACTCCACAACAAAGAGACAAAGACACAATACGTCAGTAGCATCATTTGAGAAAAGAGTAAACAGAGATAGTTATTGGAGAGAAAAATAGACAGAAAATGTAGGTGGGGAAAGTGAGGTGAAAATAGATGGTGAATACGATGGACTTGATGTCATTGCCCTGCGAGAAACATTTAACAGCGGTACAGCATAGACAGAGATGGAGACCCACAGCAGTCAACCTTCTAAAAAGGTGATGAAACCAATGAACGAGCATTTAAGAATGCTGATGAAACTAAACTAGATACATAGTGTCATCGTGCTCTCATTTTAAAATGGATATAGACAGATGGTGTTTAATATGAGGAAGTGGGAGGATAGTCACTTTGGATCCAAGGAAATAGATGAGAATTTTTTTAAAAATGATGAGCATTAACAGGATTGAGCAAAGCCCATGTGGGTTTATAAATGGCAAATCATGCTTAACAAATCTACTGTTTTTTTTCAAAAAGGATGTGACTAGTAAAATGGATAAGAGAGAACCAGTGGATGTCACATATTTGAATTTCAGGCTTTTGATAAAGGTCCGTCGTTAGAGATTAGAGGTCAAAGTTAGAGTACAAGGGCATGGATTGTCATATATTGGCATGGACTGAGAATTGGTTGACAAACAGGAAACAGACAATGGGAGTAAATGGGTCTTTATGAGTGGCACGCAATGACTAGTGGGGTACTACAAGGATCACTGTTTAGGCCCCAACTATTCACAAGATATTTATAAACGACCTGGATGACAGAACCAAATGCCACATTTCTAAGTTTGCTGATGACACAAAACTAGATGGGACCAAGAGTTGTGAGTAGGACACAAGGAGACTCCGAGATGATTTTGACAAGTTGACCGAGGGGCAAACACGTCACAGATGCATTGGTACATGGCTAAGTGTGAAATTATACACTTTGGTGTGAAAAACAAAAAGGAAGAGTATTATTTAAATATTGGGAAATGTGGACAAACGGCAGGATTTGTGTGCACTTGTATAGGGTGTTCCATACAATGAAAGCAAACAGGCAGATGCTGCAAGCAATTGAGGTAAATGGTATATTGGCCTTCTTTGTAAGGGAATGTGAGTTCAGAATTAGGAATGTCTTCCTGCTGTAATACAGGGCCTTGTGAGACTGTACCTGGAATATTGAGTGAAGTTTTGGTCTCTCAATGTAAGAAAGTATAAAAATGCCATTGGAGGTTCATTAGGCTGATACCAGGGATGGCAGGACTATACTATCAGAAGAGATTGTTTCTATTGGGCCTGAATTCACTTGAGTGTAGAAGGATGAGAGGGGATCTGATTGAAATGCATAAAATTCTAACACAACTGGATAGACCTAACGCAGGAAGGATATTTTCCATAGTTGGTGAATTGAGAACCAGGGGGCACAACTTCAGGATATGGATAGACCATTTAGGACTGAGATTTAGAAATATATCTTCACTCAGAGGGTGATGAACCTGTGGAATTCTCTATCACAGAAGGCAGTGGAGGTCAAGTCCTAGAGTACATTCAAGAAAAAGATAGTAATTTTTGAGGTTTTAAATACATCAAAGGAGTAAGGTGAAAAAGCTGGGAAATGGCATTGAAATAGAAGACTGGCCACGAGCATACTGAATGACATAACAGGCTCGAAGGGCTGAATGGCCTAATACTTTACCTAATTTCTATGAGAATTAGGAACTGTGAAGTTTATGTAGACATTTAGGAGTTTATGTACAGAAGAACTAATAAATTTTTAACTTTATTTTGTAAAAGGCTAATGGAAAGTTCCTTTCATTCTGAAAGGACCTGGAATGTAATGGTTTGGAAGTAATGCTGCTATATAAAGCTTTAGTTAGACTTGATCAGGAGTAGTTACATTTAACTCTGGACCCCATAGCACAAGGAGGATAGATTTGCTTTGGAGGGGTTGAAACACAGATTCACCAGACTGATGCTGAGTTTAAAATGTCTCAACAATGAGAACAGATTGCACAGACTGGACTTGTATTTCCTCAAGTGTAGAAAATTGAAGGATAATCTAATTTAGACATTTAATCTGATCAAAAGGAGTCAGTAAGGTAGCTAGGGAGAAACTATTGATATAGGTAGCACAGAATAGGTATGGG